ACTCACTTAAATATAAATATATATATTTATAAAACGTGTGGAATTTAATTCATCACTTAAGAAAAAAAGTATTCAAAAGATTTTCAATAAAACTCTGTACATCCCCAATAGAACAAGTGATATTAAAAGTAAGAGATTACTTAACAAAAAATAAGATTTTTTGTCTTATATTTTCCTGTTTTTACACAATACTACTTATATTATTAAAAAAATACAAGAAAATTGTTTGTCTAATTTCCCTCTGAAATAATAAACTTTTGCATTTTCTCGGAATGTCGAGGTTGCGTTTTCTATCCGTTTTAGAACTCCTAAAACACGATTATGAAACTTTTAGAGATGTTAGTTATATATATATATATATATATATATATATATATATATATATATATATAACGGAACAATACCATAATACTTTAGATAAATTTCGTTTAAATTTTCGCATGTAAGAACGGTTTTTCATGTTTTCCCTTGTTTTGAACATAATGTCCATCTCCAAAACTCCTCCTGATAATGTTGGAAGGTTGAATTTTTGTATTTATATGAAGATGATGATGGGAAAGTTCCTTTAGGAGGTCTCATTGTCATCCGCCATTTTGTTTCAAGATATAATGAACCATAATTTGCAAAAATTTAAAAACAATGACTGAGTTATTTATTTTTTCTAGAAATATGTGTTTTCCTTAAAAAACTATTTAAATGTTTGCATATGGGAAATGATAGATGAAATTTTCTAAGACTCTTAAATTAATGTGTACATATTTTTTTATTAAAGAGAGGCAAAAGTACAAAGATTATAATTTAAATTAATTCTTTTTATACTGGTAACTTGGAATGCTGTATAAAATTCCGAATATTGAAAATATTTTAAACATAATATGGTCACATATTAACAAGTTTAATGTTTATTTAATATTAATTTATTGTATTTAATGTAGTGGAATCTAAATTATTTATAAGTTCTAATCATCTTTATTGTTTTTTTCAGCGAAAGTATTAAATGGCGAGAAAAATTAAGGCATCGTCGAACCAAACGTAGTGGGAAATGATAAAATCCTGAACTTGTGTCTACAATTCAATCAAAAGGTAAGCTTTTTATTTTTAATTATTCATTTTTTTCTAAAACAATAAGATAATTTGAAGTCTAAATTTTCTGTCAATTAAACACTTTTTTAAAGATCCACTGTCAGAACTAAAGCTATGGTTCAGATTAGTCTTAACAATTTCTCTCAAATTATCTATTACTGCTACATATACTCTGCTTGGAAAATAAATTCTATTTACACTTCATGAAATTCTGTTTTTTATACGGAAAATATGTTGTTATAAAATATTACATATCGTTCTCGTCAAACTCGTGTAGTCTAATTTAGGCTGTCGGTAGTTTAATATCATAATTAACCGAAACCATTAAAACTTTAAGTACTACATTAGAAAAGTTGTTCTAAATATTGAAGTAGCGTTACCGCCATGGTTCAATAAAAAATCCATCACTCAAGATAGGACTGAATTAGTGATTGCGGTCCAATTTGTTAAATGGTCACTCTTCTGCACCTCCAATTAACTAATAGCGGCTGATTGTTGGGAATTCGGAAGAGTACCTCCATCGCAGCACACCCTTCAACAAAGGCCATTGTTGCTCCGCTGCCAACAAAGGGTAGTTCCACCAGGGGCCGGTGGTTCACGCCCATTGCTACAAAACCTTCCAATGCATTCCCCCCAATGGCGTTTGGAGGTCTTAACGGTGATCTGGAGGATGAGAACAAGCGACATCTTTCAAGGTTTATCTATTCAAAAATGTCTGAGTGAGTCATGCCTACAGTAGCCATTATGAAAGTGATGGGCATAGGCGGAGATTTCGGAAGGGGGAGGAGCAAGGGTGTGATCACCCCAGTAAAATTAGAGAACATCGTTCTCCAAAACCAATATTTCGAAGGACAATAATGAGCTCGAAATAAATACAGACAAGACAAAAAATATGATTAGCAGCAAAATCAGCGAAAATATCAGTGTTATAAATATTGAAGAAAACACGTCGAGAAGTTTAGGTATTTAGAGTCTACAATAACTTGAAATTGAAGAAGAAGTTGAGGCTAGATTAAAGACGGGAAATGCTTGCTTTTTTTTAGTTGCGAAACTACTTAGCTCATGGCTGTTGTTTCGAAACTTGAAAATTAGAATTTAGAAAACCATTATTCTGTCTACGGTTCTTCATGGATGCGAAACGTGACTGCTTACACTAAGGGATGAGCACTAGCGGATACATGATTTAATTTTTGGGGGAGGGGCTTCAACCTGAAAGATTTTTTTTTCATATACATATAACGATAAATAATTTTTTTTTTCTGCTGGAGGGCTATAAGCATTAGGGCTAAAAGTTCTCATTCATACAATAAATACAAATAATAAAGAAATAAATATAAAAATAAGTTAAATAATTAGAAAAAAAAAGAAAGAAATCAACTACCTATATGAAATGGTGTTTATGTGGTTCTTTTAAGTTCTATTAAGTATAATTAAACGAACAAGAATACTTTAAGACATAGTTTTTAATATTTTTTCTATAAAATATGGTTATATTTTACCATTTTGGAGGGAGGCTTCTGCCTGAAAGCTCTCCTCCCCCCACCCACCCACCCCCCTAGATCCGCCTGTGGGGATAAGCAACGTCTTAAGGTTTTTGAAAATAAACTAATATGTTGAAGCAGCATTTTCTCCTATATCGAATTCCCAAGGCATGACATGGAATAATTGGTTTTTGGAGAGACCATTTTAATTGAAATTTCGACACAGAATAACTAACTTACACAATAAAAAAATGTTAAATAGGAGAGTATATAATTGTATAATAAATAAAATATGTAAACATAACTCAATTGTGAAGGAGGGGTTAGTTAATTATTAGAAGATTTTGGGTGGGGGGGGGGATATTATTTACTTTTAATCTTACTGACATTCACACAACAAGAAAAATACAGAAGATAAATGTCTCCAATTTTTCATTCTCTTTTTTTTAATTTTAGAACTTTTTTAAAATGTATTACACTATTTTTAAAATTTATTTGTTAATTTACTTGTTTTATGAAAATTCAATATGTTTTTGAAGTTTTTATAATCTAGTTACTAAAACTAAGCTACTAGAACTAGTTAAAAAAAAATTATTTTGCAATGAATAGAATTTTCATAATTATTAATGATATTTCATAACAACAATAAATTCGATTTTTAAGTGATTTAAGTATTTGGATAAAATAGAAAAATAACCAAAATTAAAAAAAATTACTACAATGATAAAAAAAAGGAAAAATAACTACAATGTTATTGCAACAACACAATGAAAAAATAACTACAATGTTTTGAGAAAACAAATTAAAAAGTTATTTGTGCTAATAATACTTAAAGAAACCACTATTTCTTCAAACCTTTGTCGCAATGGAAATATCATAGATTTAGTTATCAGTAAACATGAATACTTGAACAATTTGTTTTTGTGAAAAAAAATTGCATCTTATTAATTTTTCAATTTCTAACACTGATAATTTTTTTTAAGGTAGAGTTAACGGACTTCTTCCCAGATCCGTCTCTCTCAGTGATCTTCATCCCATTTGCTAAGGAAATTTAATAAACTACTAATCAAATCTGCAAAAAAAACATGTAGTTTTCTTATGTATGGGCATATGTGTAAGTAGTGTGTGAGAAGTAGGTATAGCATAACTTTTAATACAAATGTATTAACATAACTATTACCACAATATCTTGCTGTTATTTATACGATAATATTTTAAATAAAATACAGTCTCGAGCTTTTTAATTTTGTACTAATTTTAAATTAATATGTATTTTTTTGGTTGAGAGATTAAATTTAAAAATCTATAAATTATTTTAATTAGGAATAATTCATTTAATTTTAGAATGAGTAATGCCACTAATTTTATTCGCTATATAATTCATTAATAAACTATATTAATATCAAGAAATACTAATTCTTCGTTTATATTTAATATTTAGGTATGCATGTGTTTTTTTTTCTTAGTTTTAATTTTCTTATTTTTTAGGTTATTTTATTTTATTATCTATTGTATATACTTTTGATTATTATTTTGTTCTATTTTTTTTGTACATATAGTGTGAATGTCATCCTACCTCACTATAACCAATGTCCAAGAGACAGATTGTTATAATACTCAATAAAGAAAGTAATAATTGAAAAAATATTTTATATTTAAAAAGAAAATACAGTTGCAAACAATCTATATTATATTTTCTTCATAAAATGTAAAATATATAATATAATGAAATATAAACATTGACCCTTGGCGATAATGACCCTGGGAGATAATAACTCCCCATATATCATCAAATATCATTTATTTATTTTTACTTTGTATTCCTATTAGCTTAAAACCCCAACCAATCTCTCTTCAATATATCTTCTACAGTCAACAATCGTCCACTATTATTTATACTTAAGATGATTATTTAAATATCTAATTAACTACAATCTAATTAAAATATAAAAAAAGAAAATAAAGTTGCGAAAAATCTATATTCCAATTTCTTCATAAAATGTAAAATATATAATATAATAAAATATAACCAATGATGCAAGGCGATAATGACCTTTGTTGTTAACGGCTTTATAAAAAAAATTAATATTGAAGTTAACCGTCATTAATTTTAAGGAGAGTATTGTTACATTGAAAATTAACTCCGTTTAAACCATGCTGTATTTTATTTAAGATTTAAGGAAGAAGAGTTTTGTTCCTATATTATAATGCTTCAATGCTCTATTTCATTGAAGATCTTAAATATTATTATTTAAGAAAATAATTTATTTTTAGTTAATTATTAAATAAAATATGTTTATTCAACGGATTGTTTAACCAAAGTTTATTTAAATTAGCCACTAAGTAAATATACCTACTTTCATGACAAATGAGCTTAGTTTAATTTGCCACAGAGGGGGCGGAGGTGCAGGGGATAGGATTAGTGGCGTCGCCAGCATGGGGCTAATTGGAACAATGCAACATCTACCTCAACACTTCACTCCAAATCTCTTCTGGAACCTCTTTTCAACCATTGTCAATATTAAATGTCAGGACTCCGCAGCTAAAGGTAAGTGTGAAAATATTTTTTTTTCTAAGTAAAAGCACAAAATATTTTATTTATAGAAGAAAGAAAAGAATATTTAGCTACTTCAGCAGTATTTTTCAGGGGCACTTAATGTTCATATATATGGTGTCTTCAAGGAATAAATAGACCGTTATATTTTCAAAAAATTTTTATTATACTTCTGACGACGTTTCGAGCTCATTGGCTCATTATCAAGTCATCAAAGCATTTTTTTTTATGTACTAATTTCATGAACTACTTATTACTTGTATTCCTCATCATAATCTCCCTTAAATTTGTGCGCATTGATTGATGCATGTCCCCAGTCCGGAACTACCACCTCCGTCTACTTTTAAATATTGAATTTAAAATACTGCATTGGGTACACTGCATGTTGTATTTCATGAAATTAGTAAATAAAAAAAAAAATGTTTTGATGACTTGATAATACGAAAATGAGCTCGAAACGTCATCAGAAGTATAATAAAAAAATTGTTGAAAATACAAGGACCTATTTATTCCTTGAAGACACTATATAAAAGAAAATTTTTTTTTTGGGAGGAGGAGGCAGGAATTAATCACCCAAAAATAACAGATATGAACATTTGCTATCACATTTAGATTCGTTCGGCACATAATGGCAGGCAAAAAATAACGAGATTATAAAGTTCATGTATTGTTCAAATAATAATGGGTGGTCCAGTGTGTTAAGGAGGTTGCAAAAATTATAAGCTACGAGGCTAAATCTAAAACAATTAATAACAAATAAAAATAAATAAGTGCAGTCCCTACTCGATTGCTAAGACCAATACGGCGCGGGTTCGATCCCTGCACCAAGACTCGTCTGTGTCTCGCATTTGGGCAACAATACCCATCATACTGGTGTTTATCAAAAAGGGGTCATTACAGCGGGCTGTATACCTTCCAGTAAAAAGTAGAAGTTAATTAATTTGTATAATTCTGTAAGAACGTGGTTTCAAATTGATTTGGATTATATACGTAGCAAGCTTTAATTTAAATTTGTTGAAATACACGTTCCATAATATATGGAGAAATTAATTAATTTAATAAGAAAACGACCCACTTCTGAGAATATTAGTAGGAAAAAAAATTATTAGGTTACGGTGAGATGAAGGCATTATGGAAGTTTTAGGCAGATGTTTATGATTTGATAAAAAGGGATCTGTACCACAGACTATAAAAGGCTGGCATATAATACTAAATATGAATATTTAATGATAACATATATTCGGTAGATTGATAGATGAGGAAATGGAAAAATAATTGGTGTTTAGGTAATATTAAAGATGTGATTTTCAGTACGTAGGTGGGTAAAGGATTACAAAATAATATAGCTCTCGTTATAAAGATTTTTCAATCGATTTCAATACAAGGAAACCGTTGTATGAAAAGGAATATACAGGTTTATTGGCTGGGATATTGTGTTTAAAGAATGGACAGAGGAACAAGAAGTAAACAAATCAGGAAAGTTAGAAGGTTTTTTAGTTGTAAAGCCACGGAAAAGGAATACACCTAAGTAATATTGTATTCGGAAAGCTGGATATAGCCACTTCAACTCACCATACCAACCAGAGACATAGAAGTGCTTGGGGATTACAAAAATTGTTCTAGATATTTATAAGGTGATCATATATATATATATATATATATATTATATATATATATATATATATATATATATATATATATATATATATATATATATATATATATATATATATACATATAGCTTTAAAAATAAAAATATATCTATTTTATATTACATTGTTATTTTTTTACGATTTCATTTTAGGTTGCTGACAAAAAATTAATTTTCTGTTCTATCCGGCGTAGACGGAATCTGGGTACAGGAGATCTTCCTTGGGATCACCCAACACCCGACATCAAATGAGTACTTTGATGAATGAGTACCCTTCATAGCATAATAATATTCATAATAATTAACCTGGAGGTTGGGTGTGGATGCTGACCATATCAATTTCTTGTATAACAGTTTGTCAAAAAACAATGTATCTTTATCAATTACTGGATACAAGACCCTTCATGGTTTGTAATAATACAGGTTTATCATTATATATATATTTATTATGATATATTCATATAACTAGGATATTTGTCTTGTTTGTATGGTCTGAATGTATACATCTTGTAAGCTGGTATATACTTACTATTCTTATATATGACAAACCAGATAAATAATATATAGGTAATTAATATTGAAAACCAATCTGTAGATATTCAAAGTATCCTTCCCTGAATAGGTTTTTTTATTCTAAAATAAAATTAAAAAGGAAAAGAAATTTTTTTAACTTATTCCAGTCTTACATTGTCTATATACCATTTTATAAATGATATGGACGTTTTAATTTAGCTAAACATGTAATGAACTATTCAGAACTGTTGAGTTGGTTTCCACTATTACTTACCTTGTTCATATATATATATATATATATATATATATATATATATATATATATATATATATATATATATATAAAATATTTATTATAATATTATTTTCGAGCAAAATATACAATAAACGTAACTTAAGATCAATTCAATCGAAGATCAATTTTTTAAAAATTAAAAACAAATCAATGGAAATTATTTATGATAAAATAAGTAAATAGTTTAATGTCCAATTGAATTCTAAAATAGTTTTAAAATATCATATTAAATATAATAATAAAGTTACATAAATATAGTTACATTTTAAAAAAACATCATCCTTACTCTAACCTAGAGAAGTGGTTTATAACATACGATATATATGTGTATAGTTTTAATGATTTATTTATTTTCATCTACATACAAACGTATACATTATATTTTTTTCTTATTGCTCAAGCAGTTTCATTAATGAACAACAAATTTACGCACCTAATAGATTTGTTAAAAGAAAATTGTTAGCATTAAACATTTTTATATCTAATATTATATTTAACCTATGATAACTAGATAAATGAATTAAATCAATTAAATTAAAAATCCATAGGTATGTTTTTATTTATTTATATTTTATATTCAATTCGTCTTTTCCTAGAAAAGATCCACAGCACTAGCTATCATTGGTGTTGCCCAAATACGAGACCGAGACGAGTCTTGCTCTTGCAAAATCAGTCTTGACCATGGTCTTGGTCTTGCGCAAGAGGCTCGCAACAGTCTTGCAGTTACTTATTAGCTTATTATTATAGAGACATTATTGTAATTTTTTATATAGGAAAAATCTAACTGAGCCCGAATGAAAAATTAGAGGAGGTAAATACAAAAGTATATTGGTTATACCAATTATTAACATGTAGTAACTAAAATTGTAGAGTATTATTAACTATTTTGCTTTAAATTTTATTTTAAAAATCGATTTTTTTTACCAGTCCTGGTCTTGGTCTTGCAACAGTTAGGCGGCCTTGGTCTTGGTTTTGCGATGTATGGTCTTGCACATTTTGGGCAACAATAATAGACTATCATGCAATAACTGTAATAGATGTTGCTTATTTAACATGTATTTTAATATGAATTGTCTAATATTCGTTGATATTTTAGGTTCAAGGCTCACTTGCAGGATTAGTGATTAAGGATTTCTACTATGAGAAGGAAGAGCCCTTTATCGGTAAGACTGCGAACGGAAGATAAAACTGCTGTCTCCAGTTCATAAGTATTTGTCTAGTTCCATTAAAATCAATAATTATTTTTACTGTATGACTTAGAAGAAGTTACTGAATGAAGAAGTTAATATAAATAAAATATTATAGAAAAATCGATACTTTATTATAAATACTCAAACATAGAAATATAGATCGTATCATAGCTTAAATCCTAGTTACACTTCATCTCGGATATAAAAATAATAAATAAATATATTAATATTTATTTATTGAAGAGAAGAATGGTTAAGGTGATGAGTCGAAAAAGAAATGTAGCAATAAATAATAATATTTATTTTTATTTTGCCTATAAGTATAATTATATTTAGTTTTGTCTCTTACTTTTTTTTTACTTGATTTTACAGTATCTCAATTTTCTATTTACATCTATGATCTCCTTATATAACTTCATATTATTTTTCTTTCTTTTGCATTTTACTCTATGATTATCTCATTTCCTTTTAGCATACTATTACATCATACTTTAGCAACTAAGTCACACCATTTATTTTATGTCAACATTTGCATTTTTTATGGATATATATTTCATTACTTTTCGTTGTTAATTCATTTTTCATTTGTTATGTTAACTGATTTAATTAGTACCTACTTTATTACCGATATTATTTATTTCTTAGTTCTATTTTACTGTTATTATTCTATTTACTTTAAGTTTATTCTACCTACATTTCTTAGACTGTACCTTTCACCTACGTATTAATATTTTTTTATTATTATTTAATGTTTATAGTTTCTCAAACACATTGTTAACTATTTTTTTCTTAGCCCTGATGGAAGCCTGAACTTTTGGCCGAAACGTCGGCCAAAATAAAAATAAATATAGAATAATTAATAGTTGACCGTTGTATTATGAGGGAAGGATATGGTCCGGGGTGGGGGTCATAAATAGGCTGAATAGTGTCAAAACTATTTTATTAAAAGCCGACTTTGCAGCTCTTCTTCAGGGAGGTGTGTTCAGCTAGGAGTTTCACTTAGAACACAACTTTTATTAAAATAGTTTTTCCACTATTCAGCCTATTTATGACCGCCACCCCGGACCATCTCTTTCCTTTAAAAATAAATGTACTTCATATCTCGGGATATTGATTGACCAGTTTCTGTAAGCAGTTCTTTATCGGTCTTTCTTCTTCATGTGTTAGTACTCTGATTCCAGATCGCTCCGGTTTTCGTGCGGAGGATTTTCCTCTCAAATCTTTCTATACTTTTTTTCTTGGGTGCAGGTTAGTGTCACGGCCGTACAGCCATAAATTAGAACTGTCTTTATCATAGCATTGTACACCCTTAATTTGAGATTTTTCGGGATTTCAATACCTTTGAGAGTGAGAAGAAAGCTATTTTTGCACTAGTTATACGCTGATCTATTTCTGCCTGTTATTATTATATTTCCGTTTATTATTTTTATTTATTGTATGGTATGAATGAGCTACTCTATATCAATATTACTATTGTCCTTGAATGTGACAGATTGTAATATCTCAATAAAGAAGTTAAAAAAAAAAAAAATTCTGCCTGTTGATAGTTCATTAAGGTTATTGTGGAGCCGAGGTATTTGAATTTTTCTACTCTCAGGAATGATTTTTCTTTTACGCCGATCCTGTTATTGGGAGGAATTTTCGGCTTATTATCATATATTTTGTTTTGCCTTCATTTACTTGTAGGCCGATCTGCTCTACATCTCCTATGAGAGTCGTAGCGAGTTTTAGTTTTACTTTATGAATATAGAACAAAAAAAAATATATTTCACATTATTAATTGATGTTTTCTATATTAAGCACTTAACGCAGTTTTTTTATGAATTCAGTTGAAACATTTTACTAAGGTTTATTAAGAATCCTTCATTAATAAAATTGACTCTCAATTCCCAATGTTTTTCTTCAATTTTACTTATACCGTTTGTATTTTTTTTTTAATAATTTTTCTTTTTCTAATTATATCGACGGATAAACTGCCATAAAATGCCATTTTCCATAAAAATATTCACAATCGGTAATATGACTTTATCCGATTGACTAGGACAGTCCACTGTGTGTCTTCCATTTATATAAATTAAAACTTTGACGTCTGAAGGGTGATATTCTTTTTTCCAGAAATTTTACAATTAAATATTTATATTAGCAACCTTCGGCAGTGGATAAAATTCTATATATTGGTGTCCTATCGCTTTAGGTGATGATTTTTAAATTTTTTTTTTGAAAAATCAGTATTTATTCGAAAGTTAATTTAAAAAAAAGGAAATGAAGATTAATGATGCATGGGGTATTACTGCATCCTATTGGTAGAGTACCCATTAAATAGCTTTTATTAAAAATACAAGCTGAAAACACTGAAACTTAGAGGTGACAGAATTCCAAACTTTTTTTTATTTTATTTTTTTACCGATTTTGACATGATAATTGTTAATTATTTAATTGTTTGACAGACATCAATTTATTAAGCATGAATTTAAAATTTATTAAACAAGGATTGGTTGGGGCAGTCCATTGTCCGACGGTGTCAAGGTTTTAATTTATTTTTTTTTAATTTTAATTCCTACACTCACCGCTTCGTGTTAGGTTATGTAAGCAAGGATGGAACCCGGGTGCCTAATGATGGCTACCCCAGAACTCCAAGTGCCTGACAAGAGTGGATCCCCCTTAATCAAGTTAGCCCAATAACTGGTCCTTGATGATATTAGCTGGGAGTAATTTTTGGTAGCCAACTAAGTTACCTGGAAGGTGATGATCACAGTTTCCTATCTTCTTCATCGAAAGTAAATTATTAGCAACCTGTCCTGGGGTGGTTATAAGAGTTCACGGATTTAGATGAATAACAGACTCTAGGATAATATTCCGTCTCATGATGATGCGGTAATATCGACATCGTTATTTTCCTTTCTCGACAACTCCCAATATCGTATCGATACAAATTGTCGCAATGTCGAAAGATAAATGCCAATAAAGGATTTCAATATATATCTATATATATATATATATATATATATATATATATATATATATATATATATATATATATATATATATATATATATATATATATATTCATATCCGTATTTAATTATTTTCAGTAATAAGTATTTAACAAAATACTTTGTATATAAATAAACTACAACGTAAAAAAAAAAGTACATGCAAACCTTAAGATATGATTTAAATGTCAATGTTAATTTTA